CCATCGAACGTTGTCATGTCCCGAGGACGACGTAACTTTTTGACTTGGACGTATTGGGTACGCTTTACAATCGATTTACCAAAATCACACACGCAGTGCACGCAATGTAAGACACGACATTGTTTTCATTACATAATAAACGTACCTAACCTACCTAAACCTACCGTTCACAATACATTTTATATCCAAACTCAATAGCGGTACCCGTATGGAATATATACGTTTCGGTAACGGGAAACCCGCGTAAACATAAATGTTTGTATTTGATTACGATACCATCCGCTAGTGACCCACACAAGAACCACCAGTGGGACGGGAAATTATCGGTAACCCACAAGTTTAAACGACGATTATTATGAAAAGTTTCTTTTGGATTCTAAAAACAATATTATCCTTTTGACATTCGATCTCGCCTCCCCTTCAGGACGACAACAGTCGGTGTTGGTGGTGTTTGTTCAAGTCTCAATAATATCATGCGAATATTTATAACGCCTATCATTTTTATACAGAAGGTTTTGTTTAAACAACGCGAACGGTTACGGATAGTTAAGCCAACCCCTGGTTTGAAGGGCTGTTCACGCGTATACATACGTATAATAAAAACACACCGTTGTAATACGTTTAGCATCTCCAAACAGGCGTATGAACTGAAAATCTCGGTCGTTTCATCGAAATTCCTACACATTAATATTCTGGTTGGAAATGAAAAAAAAATCGTTTTTCGTGGCGCATGAATGGTTAAAAAGAAAAATGACATTGGCTGGAATTGAAATTCGTTGATGAATATATTGTAGCGATCATTAGTGGCAAAAGTAAACACGTGCCACGCGATGTAGATGAATACCCCATACGTAACATAGATGTATTTGAACGTTTGGAAAGAGAACGTTAAAGGCGATTGACCAGAGACAATTGGGTTTATTAAAAATGATTAGGAAGGTTTGGTGTACACACACACACACAAACACACCCCATTGCCGTATTGATTTTGACTTTCGCACGGGACACACGGAACATAATAGCTAATACTAAATTCTCCAAACACTCAATTATACGCTATAATACATATATTATATCATGTACACAACGCTTCCACTCAAGGTAATCACCGCTGTTATACAATGGTGTTTCAAGAACGTGCGCAAGTGTATTGGCTGATTATCGAATATCGGGCTAAAATTACAATGTAACCATTAACCATCTATAACCAATCATCGTAAGAACAATATGTATTTCCGCGACGGAAAGAGAGAAAAAAAAAATGAATAAATGGAATGGCGCGCGCATTCACGACACCTGCGCACCTTTATACCACCCGCTGCCGCTTGTCGCGTAGAAAATAAGGAAGTGTACACGGTGGGTACGATGAAAAATTGATCGTTAGACGATTAGTAACGGATTGCGAGAAACCGTAGGTAAAGAAAACCGTTCGCCCGAGTGGGATGATAGAACGACGCGCGCGCGTTGATCGCGACTTGTTGCCGTAACACGTCGCGCGCGAACTGAACCGTGTGGTTTTCACGAAATCCGAACGCGACGGGAAAAGCCTCGACCGCGAACGCGTTTCCCACCAGTTCCCGCGACGATGAGTCGGACGGACGCCGCGGGACCGTCTCGCCGAGCGCACAACACGACCGACCGCCGGCCGACGGCGTCTCCCCCGACGCACCGGCACCACAACGTACGGCGCGCGTCGGTACACGTTCTCTATTACCGTCACCACCGCCCGTTATGCACGCGCGCCGCTCGGAGTACGTTTGTTGGGCGGGGGGAGGGGGAGGCACATGTCAATCGCGAGCAACGGGATCGCATGGCGCGCGCGCAACGCGATGCATTTCGCCGCCACCGTTAACCGGTTACCTTGCGCGGTCGTCGTGAACCGTTCGGCGCGCGCAAGCCCCGACCGCCGGCCGCCCGGCCTTGGACTTTTGACTTTGCAAATTTTTTCCAACGAAATTCACTCTTCTCCACTGACGCCGCGCACTACCGACACTGACGGCGCGAAGACAGATCACGTTCATTACACTATTACCATTTATTTTTTTCCGTTTCCGATCGATTTTCAATCCCACCGGTAAACGTATGTTTAGGGAAACGACAACAAATCCGTAAGACTAATTGCTGATAAAGTGTGCGCGAGTCGATAAAAAACGTGATGTAACAACGTAATATATACGTAATATACGACGGCAAGCCACCTGCAAGGATAACGTACATAACTATTGCGTTCTACGATAACAATAATGGACGATGCGCGACGACGGTCTTATCGCTAAATAATAATATTGGAATCGAAGGACTTCGGTTTAAACGATTGAAAAAAAAATAAAGAATAATAAAAACGACTGAGCGTCGTAACGTAAAATAGGAGATTTATAATTTCGTCGACGGACGACTGTCATTATTAACAACAGTCTTCTCCACACTTCTTATTAATCGCAAGTGATGTAATTAAATGCGTTTCGTACACGACCGGGAAATCGGTAAAAATAACATAATATCTAGTAAAAGAGAAACGGTTTCTCATCGGGCGTTCTGGTGTAATGATTTCGATTTTTAACCATCATCACGGACTTAGGTACGAAATCGACGAGCATTGGCGAACGTCACGCTATCTGGACGTCAACGTCCGAGTCCGTGTTCATTTCTCTGTCGCTCGCTCTCTATCTCTATCCGCGTGTAAACGAATTTTCTTCACTCAATGTTCGCATAACATAAATTTTATTCAGTAATAACAACATTACTATTATTTTCACCAAACTAGATACTTTTCATAAGTCTTAACTAACAGCCATGGATAATATCCAACAGACTTACTAATAACAACTAACGTCAACTACTATAACCGTTCAAGGGCAAAATCCAAAACACGTAGATAAGCTTAAATTTCACCATAGTTGTACGTATAACGGTCGTCTTTACTACTCAATCCTTACAGTAAAAGAATCACAGCAATAAATTAATTATTCCCTTTGTATACACATTATTATTATGTATAGGTATTTTAAGTCATATACTGTTCGTTTATAACTCAGCGTTCATTTTTTTTTGTCGCAAGTTGTTATCTAAAAGAAAATATTCAAATTGCGCAAACAGTGCGCGACGACATTGAGAGTTGTAATTATTTCGTTAGCAGATAAGCTATTGTGAAAAATGTACGAGCAATTTAATATTGAATACACGACATATATTGTATATTATTATTTAAAATAAAAAAGAGATTGTACAACATCAAATGGTATATGAAAAATAATAAATAAATAAAAAAATTCCATTAGGACGAATATTACATACGAAGCAATGTACATACACATTTGTTTTACTCTAAAGATTGTTATTTCGTCCGAGCTCATAGTTTCCTTTCACCGATAAGTAACTGTACGGGGCTTGGGCACGGGAGCATTGTTATCCTAACTGGGCCATCTCCGCGTGAAACACTTTACTGCTTTGCTTATTATTTTTATAATTATTTCTTTTTCAATAAATTTAAAATTTTAAACAGTAATTTAAACCTAAATGAGTATCTGATGACATTAAACTAATAACTAACCATGTCACATTTATTTTTGGTGTGATATTTTCGATGTGAAAAAAACATTTTAACTACAGTAACAAGTAATTTACCTACACGAGATTTTCTCGTTGAATTGTGGTATGAATTTGATTGAATTATGATCATGGGTAGAGAGAAACTAAGAACGTCGTAGCAACTATAGTTGCAAAGCTGAATTTTCACAAATTTTGATTAAAAATTCAGGAAACCAACATAGGCATTGTACAGGTTTGTAAAAAAAAAAAATTAAATAACTAGAAAACATGTGTTTCGGGCGAAAAATATAAGTGCTTCAACAAATACTTCATTAATGTTTTGTTCTACTCATTAAAATCACTCAGTATACATTTTTTTCACCGAGAACGTCTATAATATATAAATATAAATCAAGAAATAATAATCAACAATAAATTTTAATTTCATAATCTTCTAATTATATTTATAATTCATATATATTTTTTATTCTAATTTTAAATTGTTAAAAATAAGATCAAACACCAAATTAATATTTACAAATTGTTGAATAATAACTCACAAAAATATACAATGAAAACACAGATGTATACACATATACATATGTATATACCTATTTATAATGTTGATAAATTAAATTCTTATAAACAAATTTTTATTCTTCAAGTTCATTGACTATCAATATTGTGTTAAAATGAGATTCAATTAAATTTCTAGTCTGAACAGTAGGGTAATTGACCTCAAAAAATCAGATTCAATTAATTAAAGAACCAATGAACATTATTTGTCATCCAAAGATAATTTTCTTACTGTTATAATTATATTTATATTAAAAACTAATACTAATCTACATTATTGAGACAGTAATACTATACTTTTTAAATTATTTTTTTTAAATTAAAAAATATTATTTACTGAATAATGAATATCAAAGATTAATCATTATTACTATTATACTTGATTTATACGATGCAATTTTGTACACCTTAAATTTTTATGATTTTAAGAATGTACGATGAAAAATATTAAAATTAAATTATTTAAATAGATAAGAATTTTATCTGTATTTTTATGCACTATTATATACATCAATCAATCAGATCTACAGAATATACCCACATCAGCAATTATCAACCTTGAAGTTGAAATGTATGATTATGAAACACTTGGCAACGGTAAACAACCTGATAGAAAATGTTGTGTTAAAAACCCGATATTATAGTTAAGTTACAATTATTTTTCTAACATTTAGATAAAACTGCTAATTATCAAATTAATAATATAGAACTAAGGCCAAAATAAAGAACTAATAGAATATAAAATAAAATGGGTCAACTCTATATTTTCAAAACATTAATAGTTTTTAACTAGTTAACTGAGAGTTATTTAAGATATATGACTACACAAATGGCAACCAAGTGTAATAAATCAAATTTAAAAACTATGAATTAAAAAAAAATTTGAATTTACTTACCGGTGGCATGGTATTGCCATTTTCCATGGGTTTTTTGTCATTCTTCTTGACATTTCTTTTGGTTTTGGTTTCCATGTACTTTTGTTTGAGCATTAATGTTTCTTGCACATTTTGCTGCTCAGCAAAAGCGTTACTATAACGCGGAACACAGTCCTGGTTGTGTCTCCTGTACCCTTCCATTCGTCTTTTTAGTCTATCGATAACCGCTTGTCGCTTATGGACAACGACATCGGCCATGCCGGGGGCGGCGGATTGTTGCTGCAACACACCACAGCCGCCCCCCAACAATGCACCTTGGTCCAATCCTTCAGGACCGCAATTCAGATGGTAGCTCGCCAGTTTAGTGGAATGAATACAATCAGCTACTCACATTTGCACTGGAAATCATCAAAATCAAAAATGTAAACAAATCAACAATTCATTATCACTGATAATGTACGACAACAAAATGGTTAAAAAATTGTGTTACGGCATGATAGATGATATAGAAATGCTATTATCTCTATGATAAACAAAAAGCTAAGTGCCTCATGATCCATTCAATGAATATATGGGTTGATTTTTTCAAAAATGCAAACGGATTGATAACTAGCGAAAAATTAAAGGTATACAAAATATAAACTGCAAAATATTCAACAGGTATCATTGTGAAACATTGACAATACGATACAGTATCAACCATGTCGAATAAACGCACAGAAACATTACAAAAATAGCTGACTGATAACGAACTCGAGTAGCGGGGCGAGTCGACGATTTTCAAATTCAAATTTGCGCGTATGTTTGCCGAAGAGATTTTGATTTTTGGCGCGTATTTTAGGTATCTTTAGGTTTGAGAAAACTACCGAGGACGAAAATCAAAAACGATATTCCAACATAGTCATTTAACCATATCGTGATAGAATATATGTAGTGGTGTACGTACTCATTGACAGCACTAAAAGTAGCTCAGCGGGACGGACGAAGATATCTTCGTCGGTTCGTTTACGTCAGGTCGACGTACATCTTGCGGGTCGACGAAACTCTCAGCGATCGGCGATGATAACTACTGGGCCGATTGAAAAAACACGGATAAAATAAAATGAAATTGATCGCCAACGTCCCCGGACGATACGCGCAGCGACGATTCAAGCGACCGGTACGAGCTATGGTCGGTCGCGACACCAGTAATAATAAATTGCCATTAGAGCGTCACGGGAATAATCATACGCAGACTGGGACGAGCAAAAAAATGTCGAAAAATCCGACTAGTAAAGACCGTGTGACGGGGTTTTTGACGAAAATCAGAGTATTTGCTGTACGAAAAACGGACGACGATGCGACGTACGGTGGTACCAGTTCGAGACGCGTCATACGACTGCCGCCATTGTTTTCAGTTAGGAAACGGACGGACCATGCCGCCGCCGCCGCCGCCGCACATAATATTATAAATTCGAGCGGTACGGTGTTACCAACTTAACACGCGGCGGTGATCGTACGGCACGAGCGCCGCAAGCGAAATAATACGACGACGACTTACTGTACGGTTACCGCAGTTATTGCGCGACGACGACGCCGTGTCGCGCCTTACGCTGCCTAGGTCACACGGGTGGAACGTGTACCTCGGCGGCATTAATCTCCGTTCCGTCGATAATTCTCATGACTATTTTTAATTTTTCGCTGATCTCGTTCCGTTTCACCTACCGGAACCCGTACGGTTTTGGTTATGGAAAAAACCCGAACGGTGATTTTTTTTCGTCACCGCGTTCTTATCGTAATAATAATTATTACGTACAGACGTAATACGTGCCCGGAGTGTGCTGCGCCGATAACGTTTGGAATCTCGTAGCGGCGGCAGTGTCGCGCGCGTACGGCGAACCGGAAATTTCACCAAGTTCACCGCCACCGCCGCCGCCGCCCGAACGGTTCCAAGTCGATCGTGCGCGTACACACGCGCGCTAGCGGTGGGTGGGACGTAACGTGGTTGGGGCGGGCGGGAAGCGGTGAAGGGGAAAACGGTTTTCGACGTTCCGCGGAGTGGAATAATATATGGAAAATAATATTACGGGAAAGAGAAGTAAAAAAATAAAAAACGATCTGGTTTCGAGACCGCGCTCATAACGCGTATTTATACCTGTATATAATAAACACTCCGTTGTATTTGTTTTTTAACATTACTCCGTTTCGTGCGCGCGGCGCGACGTACACGTATTTGTATTTTTTTTTTCGTCCCCGACGATTTTACGCGACGGCTATTCCATTTTTTTTTTCTACGCATCGCGCGTACGCGTGCGAACCGCCCGGCCACTTGCCGTCACCGTTATCGTTGTCCGGATGTTCTCGTCCACCGATCGAACACGACGACGTTACCACCGTTCGAGACGGTATTGGGTACCGTGGTACCACTTTTAATCGCTTATCGGTGATTTATGTCCGATCATGTACGTTTGTAAGAACGCGCGCACCGTAGTTTCGCGTGCGGACGGACGTATACGGAGCGATCGACATTTGCGCACGCGCTACCGCGCCTACGAGGAGTAGACGACGAGGACAAGTGTGATAATAATCGTGTGCGTGTGGTTTATGGAATTCCGTTTGCGCGAACGTTTGGCCGACCGAATGAAAAAAAAAAAAAACAAAAAACCTAAAACAATAACTGGTACGACGTGACGGCAGCAAAAATATTTCGGGCACATCCGTCGTCGTCCAACAGAATAATATTGTAATCGGAAACGTGCGGAACACATTGTTTTCGATTAAAACGATTCTGAACACTTCTGCCGGTCGTCACGAAGAACACGTTTTCAAACGTAAACGAACGTGTTACTCCGTACCTGTTCTACGATAACATTGCGCGATCCCGACGTATCCGTTTTAGTTTTTAGACCGCGATCGGTTTGGCCACCAGAAAACCGCAAAACACTCGGAAATCCTATTATAATGTTATACGGTGGCTTGTTTTTTTTTTTTTACGTAATATTCTAAGTTTTGGCACCAAACGTAATTATTATTATTTTACTAAACCTTTTTTTGAATAATCCCAAACGGAACTAAGGACAAGGCCGTACGGCATGCGCACACGACCTTGGACTTGGATCATAGACTTTTTTTCGTTTCATCATATTTCAAACAATTCATAAAAATACACGTTTACGTATTATTTTATTTCCATACTGCGAAATTAATCGATAAGAGTATTATATTTCTAGTCACAGGGAATATATTTTAAACCGTAGTGATGGTAGCACTTTTCTTTACACAAAAGTACACTTCTTAAAAACGTTTATTAATTCGAAATTCACACGAGGGTAATTTGATGCGTAGACTCGACAAATAGCAACCATTATCTGTTGTAATATTAAAAATATTTTGTAAAGTTTACTTTCGAAAACTACTATCTTACACGGGTGTATTACATTGTCATTCGATGTGAAGATAAAACGAAAATACGATCAGAGGGAGACGCTGCAACAAGGTTCGATTGATCAGAATCCAGAGTAAGAGAGGAATTGTGAATCCTTAACATTTCGCGAATAACGATTATTATTGCTCATTGTGTGTTAAACAATAAATATCATTAGTTAATGGACAAAATATATCGAGTGTAAAATGTAGTCATAATATTATAAAAAGTCTGTAGACCTGAAAATAAATGGCAAACGAGTATATGCAATTGTGTCTTTAGAAATTAGATGGAATATACAATTATTTTATTCAAGAGATAAACAAAATAAAGATATTTTTTGCAAGAATTTTAAGAATTTTAAAATAAACAATATCTTGAGAAATTAACAAATGTGTTCAAAAAAAATTATACAACAATAAATCCTTGGAAAATATTTGTAATGCAAAACTTGGAATGTTTTGTCACTAGCGTTAAAAATATAAATTTGAAAGTTTTGAATTATAAAATACACACAGAAATATAGAATGTCGGACATCGGTATTCGTCAAATACACCGAATTTGGGACACTACCTGTATAATATACATCTATTGCGCCGGTATAACGACTATACAGTACAAATAAAAATCATAATGGCTAAAAGCAAAAATTAAAATTAAAATCAAACTTATTCTATTTCATTCTACGTAGGTACTTGATATTCATACAAATTTTGAAATGTTCTTAGACATGTGTGTAGCGAGGGTGGGGCAGGGGGGCACTTGCCCACCCCTGCGCCTCAAACTGAATTATATTTGTTTATACCAAATGTATAAGTTTTACATTAAAATCAAAAATTAAATAAGATATAATTCTTAAAATAGTTTAGTGGGACCGAGTGATATCTACACGTGTAATCGTTTTGACGTATTATGTGTTATCCAATGGTCTATCTGTAGATTATTTGAATTACGAGTTTAACACAAATCATTTTATGTTTTTGCCCCTCCCTGATTCAAATTTTAGCTACACCCATGTTCTTAGGTCTAATATTAAAATTAGTACTGTCTATTTTACTAATTATTTTTTTGTCATAAATTTAGAGTTTGGTCTATTTGTGATAACTAAGATAAGACGTATTATGATTGTTGCGTTACATTATTTTTAAAAGTTCATAAAAAGCAAAAATATTTGGTTGGGTTGAATAAAAATATTTCCCAAACGCTGAGTGAAATGCCTTACAGGCATTTGTTGTTCTTTTACCTGATATGTTACACGATGACCAAAGCATACGGGAGAAAAGTTACATTTTCATCAATATACATATGTATCAATGAGGTAATCGCAAAATGTATCAACTCGAATATCGATCGGCGCAATAGATGTATACCTTTTTTCCGTCCCATAATTTTCCTTTCTTTACCTGCGATTTTCGGCGCAATTGATATAAAGCCTAGGACATGAGATATATCATGGAAAACCAGATTATATGACAATCACATAATTATATTTGAAATGGGAAATAATTAAAATGTATGGATAAATACAAGTTGCAATTTATAAGTATTTCGTCGACTACAATAAAATCAAGTTTTTAATAAACACTATTAAAATTTAATTGAAGTTATTATTTTCTATGCCCACGTATAAATAGTTATTACCAGAAAAATTATTAGTTCACCTCCATTCAAATAAATACTAATTCATATCATTTTTCAAGAATTATAAGAAGTTGTGTGAATTAACAAATGTATATTTCATAAGTGGTCCTTGATCATTGTTCTATGTATATATGTTTAAAAAATGTATGAGTAAGATTTTCGTAGAAAAATAGTGCAAATTAACGATTTGAATAAATATCTTAAAAGTATAACAAGTAAGTTGGGTTTAATACGAAAATGGTTAACTTGATTTTCAAGTTCAAAATATAATGGAATTATTATATTTAAAATATTAATACAATCTAGAATCTATAAAAAAATGTATTGCAAATATGATTGAATTTAATTAAAGTTCTTACCTTAGAAAAATTATTTTTTCCACCATTCAACTTCACATTCAGTATTTCAAATAAATTCCTTATGAACTGCTAGACATAATTTTTATACAGAAAATCAAGATAATTAAGTGACGGATATTATGTAATACCTATAAAATTTTAATAATAATTGAAGTATCCATCAAATTGAATTATGAAAATTTTATTTTCTTACTGAAAATTATAAATAACAAAATATATTTAAGACTGTAAGACTTAACTCCACGTGATTTAAGTCTTTATTTAGATAAAAATCATTATCGTTACCCAATGAAGAAAATTAATCACAGATCTATAAGTGATAAACTGGTAATCGATAAATAAGAACTAATGACACTAATAATGTAAGTGCTATGAAACAAATTTAATATGTGCGTTTAAAATAATACATTTTTGGTTTTTGGAAATATTCGATTTACCTTATTAATCATATTTGTTTGTCGTGATGTAATAGTGTAAGACAATAACTTTAAAACGTTATAAATAAAAACTGTTTAATTGAATTGTTCGTGTTTATACAAAATAGTGGTATTATTTAATAAATTATGGTTACAATTGTAAATTTTATACAAAGAAAAATCGTCTATAGGGCTAGTAGAAAGCGTCATATGCCCAATATTGTTTTTCACTGTTAAACCTTAACTTCTCCTCAAGAGAATGATATATTTTTTATGTTTTTTAAAAATAAATAAATTTAATTTATAGCAGATTTAAATCCTGCGTTCTTTTTAAAACACCTTATTATTTATACTGTATAGTATATAGGTACTGTGTAATTTTCTTAGTTAAGCTTTGAACTTCCAAAGAATCTTTATAGTAAAAAATAGATACAAGAATATGAATACATCATTAGTTAATTTAATTCATAAGAGTAGAAGTGAATATTTTAACAAACAATGTTCCGTATAACTTTTTGTATCGTTTAAATATATGCTACATTTGACATAACATATAAATAGGTA